GTTCCATAGATTTATAATTTTGATAATATTAAAATAATGGATTTCATGCAGGTGATTATTTAAAGTTAAAATTGGAACCTCGTTTTTTCAATGAAATCTTTTAATATTGACAGTCATGTTAGCATTTTACAACAAACATTACATTATTATTTTTAACTAAAGACTTACTTGCTTGAGATAATGGAATTCTATCATATTTATCCTTTTTAATTTAAGATGATTAAGATTGATGTGTCTTAAAATGAATCTCTTGGTCATCACAATCAATATCATCTTTACTATTTTTTGACCTACAAAACACAAGCATAGAGAATATTTGAATTTCATCTAAAAACTTGTTTTCTCATGTAGAAATTTTACAATTAAAAATCTTTTACAAATTACTTTACAGATTATTAATTTTATAAGTAAAATAGGGTATATAATATTGTATATAATATTATAGGTTTCATACTGCCAAATATCTGGTAATAACACCATAATATTATTAAAGATTAAAAATCTTAAAATGACATTTTGAACTAAATCACTTACTTTCTTGAAACAAATCATCATATTTTTTCCTTTCAGCCTTTTTAACTATAGTAAATACTTAATAAAAGAGTTAAAGAAGAAAAACTATAAAAATGTTGTTCCCTTTTCTCAAATCCAAATGAATTTTTTTGCATTAAAAGCAGTTGATAATCAAGTAGAATTAAAAAATTAATCTAGTTTCTTTAGCAATCAAGTTTACTCAACAATTAAGCTATTTAATCTAAATAAACACACCATAAAAACATTATCATTTTAATCATATCTACTTGACTCAAGTAGAAATACAAACACAACCTAGTTTCAACGAAGACAAACTAAAAATACTCCAATATATTTTTAACTTTAATTCTCCAAGAAAACAATACAAACACTTGGTTGATTTAAAGATATGTTAATTTATATAATTCTTACTTAAATAAATCACTTCGCTTGATCGAAAGTCACGCCATTATTTGCGTGAACATACTCTTTTAAATATTGCCGTGACATTCAAAAAACGTATATTTATTATGTTAAAAAAACGTTTTAAAAACGTTCATAAGCTAACTGAAAAATTTCGCAAGTTGTTAAAAAAAAAAAAAAAAAAACGCTTAAAAAACGCTAAAAAAACGTTTAAATTAACATTTAAAAAAACGTTTATAAAAAAACGTTTTAAAAACAATTGTATTGGTTCTTTAAACGTCTGACCGTAAATTAAACGGAATTAAAACGTTTTAAAACCGTCCTGTGCTTACTGGGTAAGAAACCAATCACAGATTGGCTGTAACTTTTTAGAAATTAATTAAAGCATTTAAAAACTTAGAATTCAGAGTACTTTTACTAGTTACATTTTCTATATTAACTGTTTGTAGAGTCGGAGGTATTTTTAAATTCTTGTTTAGAGCTCAATAGCATTTATTTTTATATTGAGTGATTTTATTTGATTTAAACCATATATTAATTTTTAAATTCAGCATTTGTTTTTTTAAAGAGGTCTTCAATTGTGTTTAATGAGTGAAAGAAGTTTGATTAATGGCGAACATTATAGTTATAAAGATATTAGAGCCACTTGAAAGATTGTTTTTATAAATAAAAAAAAAGGATTAAGATAGAAGCTTAAGGTACATTACATACATAACAACAATAATAATAACAGTAATAATGAAGTATTATGATTGATGGAGTCAGATAGCTTTGACAAATCAATAAAGATCTCTAATGTGATTTTTTTAAAATGGTTAACTTATTCTATTTGAGAGGGCAAGTATTGCATGCACTGTTTAGTGTCGCTTTTAGAAACCGTAATAAAGAGCAGTGTGAGCCTGACAAGCAACTTTATTATTATTTTTTTTTTTTTTTTTTATTATTGCTATTATTATTGTTATTATTATTGTTATTATTGTTATTGTTATCGTTGCTATTATCATTATTATTATTATTTGTATTAGAATTACTATTGTAATAATTTAAAATAGAAATTTGACTTCTATGAACCAAGTGTATATTTATCTATTTATTTGTCATATATAAACATTTTACAACGTTCTTATTACAAGCTTCTAAATAAAATATAAAATTTTAAAAAATGACAGTAGCATGTAGAAGACAGTAGTCTTATCATCAACCCTTATTATAAACGTAAAGTTTTTTTTTCTTTCACAAGTTCACTTTATATAATGTGAACTTGTGAACTTTCTCATAATATAAAATAATATATAATAACTATAGTAGAACAAATAGATTAAATGAAAGAACTTTAATAAAACAAGACTTAGTAGTATGATAAGAATTAATAAAAGAAGATCCCAAAAAACAAAAACAATATAAATTTCTTAAAAACTGATAAAAAAAGTCTAAATAAAAATTCTAAATAAAAACAACCCTTACATATATATATATATATATATATATATATATATATATATATATATATATATATATATATATATATATGTATATGTATATATATATATATATATATATATATATATATATATATATATATATATATATATATATATATATATATAATATATATAAAGAGAGAGAGACATATATATATATATATATATATATATATATATATGTACAAAACGACTAAAAACATATCCTATTTGTCATAAGATTTGTCTGCTTTTTAAAATCTTTTTACCTTAACCATATTTTTTTGTAATTTCAAAACAATGATCACTTTCATTAGTTGAAACAAAACACTCTAAACCTTGATAATTTTTGAACTGTAAACAGCGTCTCAATGTAATGATTACTATTATTAAGATAAGGATTACTTAACTTCTGTTTATCTTCATGTACGTGTTTACTTGAGCAACCCTTTGGTCTTTGAACAAGCTTTTTTAATTGACCTGAAAAAGTTTTGTATTTGAAAGAGGGACATCTATCAAGTACCTAAAAATTAGTTGTATTATTTCCTATATGTGCTAATGAATAGACATTGTACACTAGTTGATCCTTACGATAAAGTTCACATAAAACTGCACAAAATAAGTAGCTGAAAGCAAAATTAACATACTTTTTTAACAAAATAAAACATGAAATTAGAACTACAACTGAAAAATCGAAAAAGTTTGATTAACCAACTATTTTCGTTTATGACCAACTATTCTCATTTATTTAGTTTTGTACTCTTTTTTTACAAACCGTACTTTTTTCAAATCCTGTACTCTGAAAGTACTCATTTGTATAATTTTGTATTCATTTTTATTTCTAAAATACTTTATCAGATTATTTCATTTTAATTTTATTAATTAAATATTTAAAATTATTTTGACAGTGATTTGAATTTCACGCGCGCATATTGCTTGTCGTTTTCGGCCCGTCAAAAAACAGGGAAAAAACACCAAACACAAGTTTGACAGTGATTTAAATTTTGCACGCACATATGGCTGCCTTTTTCAGCACAATTGAGAGGTCGTATTATGCACCTGGAGAGATAAAAAGATACAGACCTTTTTTCTAAAACGGATAAAAGGATCAAAATTAGGCAGAACTATTTTATTCCAAAGATAAGGTGCTCTATAATTAATACAAAATTTATTAAAATTTGTTCTACAAAATGGTTCATTTAGCAAATCTTTATTTCTTAGTGAGTGCTTATTAGTAAGTTTTAATGTAAAAAGGTCGTTAAAAACAGGTAGGGATAAATTGTTTTTCCACATATAAGTAAAACATAAAACATTGAAAACATTAAGTTTGTAGACATTAAGTGTTTTCATTTCATCAAAAGAAAGGTTTTAAATGTGTAGAGTGACCAACATAATTAATCACGCAAATCGCATGTTTCCGTTGGCGATGTAGACGTTGTAGTTTACTTTTTTCGGTACTACCCCATGCAATATTTGCGTAGTTTAAATAGCTGTGTATGAATGAGTAATAAAGCTGTCTAAGGCTTTTTTTGCTTAAGTAAGGTCGGACTTTATACAAAATGCCAATATTTTTAGATACCTTGGTGGTTATATGATTAATATGGTTTTTCCAAGTAATATTCTCATCAAGATAAACACCTAGGAATCTTATAACAGAATCTCTTTTTATTAGAGTTTCATCAATATAAATTTGAGGCATAATATCTGGTAAAAAACGTTTTTTTGAGAAGGAATGAAAAAGAATCCATTTAGTCTTGTTAGTACTTAACGTTAATTTATTACTTTTAAACCATTTAGAGATGTTTATAAGTTCATTATTAGTTTTTAAGAAAAGTTTGTAAACATCAGTGTGGGATTGAAATAAGTTAGTGTGATCGGCATAAAAAATACTCATCAAGTTAGAGGCTTTGTTTAGATCATTGACATATATAAGAAATAGCAGCGTTCCAAGAATAGAACCTTGTGGAACACTACAGGTTAAATTTAAGGATCCACTTTGAACGTCATTATTACTATAGACTACTTGCTTACGATTTGTTAAATAGCTTTTAAACCACGCTAAAGTATTATTGTTTAAACCGTAATATTTCATTTTTTGTATTAAAATATTATGGTCAACCGTATTAAATGCTTTTGATTGATCTATAAAAATACCTAATGTATATTGAGCTTTTTCAAAGGATTTGGAGATGTTGCGTACAAATTGAATAATGGCATGCTCAGTTGAACTATCTTTTTTGAAACCGAATTGATTATTGTAGAAGGTTATTGTAACTAAAATAATTATTAACTCTGTTAAACATAACTCTTTCTAGGATTTTGGAGAATACAGATAGGATAGAGATGGGGCGGTAATTATTGATATTGGATCTGTCGCCTTCTTTGTGAATTGGAATAATTTTAGCAATTTTTAAGCGCTCAGGGAAAATTCCTTAATGGATGGATGCTTTGTAGATTTTAAAAAGAATATTTTTAATTTGTTCATAGCAATCTATAACTATATTTCCGTTTATTTCATCAGGCCCAGTTGCTTTATTTTTTTTTTAAGGTTTTAAAAGCTTTTTTAAACTCTTCAAAGGAAAATCCGGACGATAGTTCATCTGAGCAAATGCCTTTATCAAGAGGTGCTAAAAAATTATAAAAAGAAGTTTTGGTAATTTGAATTTTATCTGATAGGGTTGGACCAATTTCAACAAAATATTTATTAAACTCATTAGCTATAATTTGTGGATTGTATAAAATTTTATTATCTATTTTAAGCATGTGTAGCAAAAAACTTGAGCATGTTTTTTGTTTCCCAATTATTTCTTTTAGTGTTTGCCAAGTGCGTTTTACGTTATTTTTTGTTTCATTAATCAAATTTGAATAGTAGTTTTTTTTTAAACTTTTTCGGATTTTTTCAAATAAATTTTTATATTCTTTGTATTTTTTTTCGCTAGTAGGAGTTTTTGTTTTTAGGTATTTCATATATAACTTTAGCTTAGTTTTTGATGATTTTTTGAAACCTTTGGTAACCCAAGGATTATTTATGTTTTTAGTTTTTGATGTATGAGTAACATTAGGAAAGCATCCAGAGGCGTACTGAGGGGTGTTCGGCCCAGTAGGAAATCACGGTCACCGGCCCAAATAGAGGTGGCCTGAAGGGTGATTAGC